CTCAAACCTACCAGCCACTCCACAGAAGACTGGGCAATCTACTTCTGTAGAGATTTATCACCTTGGAAACCCAAAGGGGGTTGCTGTAAGTCGGAATCGACTTAATGGCAGTGAGTTTGGTTTTTGGTATATATGAAGCACTCTGATATTTTCTACTCCTGTTACATTTTTTAAAAAAAACATTGTGATTTCATAATTCACCAGTGGGCTGTGAGCTACTGTTGGAGAAACACTGCTGCGGTTGTATGGGGGTTTGAGCCTGGACTATGAGTGAGAGAGGGAGGCCAGGGCTGGGTATGTGGCGTGAGGCATCTTCAGTACCGAACTGAGAGATTAAGATATGAGAACTAATGACTTCCTTTCTTCCAGCTGTCGGAGATCCTGTGGTCTAAAATTTGGTGACCAACACCCTGTTAGGAAATTAATTATCCTAAAAACAATGTATTGACCCAAGTGACTTTAGTTCTGTGTATTTCACTGTGCATAAATTATATTTCAATAAATTGTATTGTAAAAAGAAAATTAATTATCCTGCCACCATCAACCCTCAACCCTATGTCCCAGAGGGTTCTGGGGGAAGAAAGTATTCAACAGAAAGGCAAATACATTTTAGAGCGTTCAAAGTAAGTCTCACTGCCAACCCACAGAACACATTGAGTTAGAAATTACTCACCTTTACAAAACATCTTTATCCCCAGACTGGATAAGGATATTCCTTGGGGAAAAAAAGGCTAAAGAATACCTAAGTCTCCAACTTTGAGTTTTAAGGCCATGGTGCTTAGAACTGGGGCAGAAAAGATAGGAAACAACTTCTCCTTGCTAAGCTAGAGTTCTAAATTGAAGCATGGAAAAGAGGCCAAGGGCCCTAGGCTAACATCTGCTGTTGGGTCACAGCCTGAACAAGCTCAGGCCCAAGCTCAGTAATGCTTGGCTCTGAGGAATGAGGGAGCCCAGGGGATTATTAGGACTCCATGAGAAATAGCAACACATATTAAGGAGCTGATTAAAGAAGGAAAGCTGTTTTTCCAACTCAAAGGATATTACTCTCCTCAGTCAAATTAAGTTCCTTTAACCCATGGGTTACAGCATTGCAAATGGTTAAGCACTCAACTACTGGCTGAAAGGCTGGCAGTTCAAGCCAAAGGCCCCTGGAAGACATGCCTGGCAATCTGTTTCCAAAAGCCTTGAGAACTCAAGGGAACACAGTTCGACACCTGCACACGTGGGGTCACCCAGGGTCAGAATCGATCCGATGGCAACTAACACCCACACACATCATGTCACAGTGCCTTTCCAGAGTCGATCTTGGAACATTTCCTAATGAGAGATACTTTAAATAGAGATGAAAATGAAACCAATGATTTTGGGCTTTAGAAATTTCGTTTTTACACAATAACGACCAGAAGTACTGGTTGGATGGAGTCTGGTTGGGACCCCCAAGACTATAGCCCTGGGATATACTTTAGGCCTGGGATAGGACTCACTCCCAAGGACTGGCTCTCAGCCCAACAGTAGAAAGACTTGCATGCAGAACACCCAACCCAGGGCGATGCACCCACCTACTCAATGGAGATACACCCCTTGAAGCAATCGGCCATGGGGCACCAGAGGGGCAGCATTCACATGAAGAGAAAGCTGGACAGACAGGAGTGCATAGTTAAGAAGGGCATGGGGAGGGGGTCACAGGTAAGAGAGGGGAGGAGAGTGGGTTAGGGTTGGGGATGGTAATCAAGGAGTGAAACCAAATGTACACGAACTGTTGAATGTGAACAAATTCTGCTCTGTAAATTTGCGCCCAAAGCATGCACACACACACACAAATTTCATTTTGAAAACAATTGCAATGCACCATTTGGTTGAAAATCCATGTCACTAACAGGATTTTTTCTGTTCAGGAGAAGGAACAAGTGCAGAGGTAAGACAAAGTAGTCATTCAGGAGGCAAGGAATGCTCCCTCAAACTTCTTTTCCCACGTTGGGGCTGATGATCCAGGTTTATAGGAGACTGTTGATGACGGCTACATGTCTGGGCAGCTCTTAACATCCAGCTCAAAGAAAAGACCTTCATGGTAAAGGCCCCAGGGAGTCAGATTCAATCCTCCCTCCACAAAATATTAAAGCAGCAAAGAGGAGCTGGCTTAAAAAATGACAAAACATAGGCAACAGGCAGGAGCAGCTTACTCACCATGCCCTTCTCTGGCCCTGGGAGCCACTGAAAAGATTATTAAGATAGAAACTATCTTTTCCCCAACTACTTTCTCTTCCCATTTCCAGTCTTCCAGTTGATATCTAGTTGGTTCTGACTCGTGACAACCTCATGTGTCTCAAGGTAGAACTGAGCTAAATAGGGTTTTCAAGGCTGTGACTTTTTAAAAGTGATCTCCAGGCCTTTCTGCTGAGGTGCATATGGATGGGTTTGAACCACCAAACTTTTGACTAATAGCCAAGTGCTCAACCATTTGCACCACCCAGGGTCTCCTCTTCCCATAAAACCAAACCCATGCCTATCAAGTTAATTCCAACTCATGGTGACCCATGTGTTACAGAGTGGAACTGTTCCATAGGGTTTTCCTGGGTGCAGTCATCATGGAAAGGATCCCAGGTGTCGCAACTGGTAAGTGCTAAACTGCTAACTGAAAGGTAGGGCACTCGAACCCATACAGTGGCTCTGGGGAAGACAAGCCGTGGTGATCTACCTCCATAAAGATGGCACCGTAGGAAACCCAGTGGGGCAGTTCTACTCTGTGATTCTGGGTCACTATGAGTCAAAAGTTGACTCAACAGCACCTGACAACAATCTTTACAGAAGCGGGTTGCCAGGATTTCCTTCCTTATTACTGAGTGGTTTCAAACTACCAATGTTTAGATTAGTACTTGAGTGCAAACCGTTTGTGCCACCCAAGGCCCTGTTTCTCTTCCCATCCACCCTTTTTCCCTGTGGCAAGACCCTGCTCCTTTCAGCAGAAGTCCAACAGAACTCTGGGAAATACATACCAGAGGTACCTTTTTGTCCAAAGAACCTCCTACAGCCCTGGTTTCTAGTCGCTCAACTGCTCCAGACCACATTGTTATCTCCAACCCGAATCTCCATTTATCTCACCAAGCTCATGAGGCCTCCCTTTCCTGTATGACAGTACACTCACTCCTGTCTTCATTCAGACCTGTGGGCCCGCTTGGCACCTTAGTCAACCCCACCCTGCTTCCACCCTGTTAATATTCTGAGAACAAGCACAGTCTAGATATACCCATCCCAAGCAAGACTGCCAGAGAAAGAGGAGAATAGCTGGAGTGTTAGAAGACAAGCCCAAGTCTGGAATGGAAGTGTTCCAGTGCATTTTGAAGCCTGGGTGTAAATTAGCTGAGTAGGAGGAGCAGAGACAAAAGTAGTAAGAAAAAAATGTATACCACTCTTTCAACTGAAGGAGAAAGGGAAGCTAAAAAGGAAACAAGGTCAGGGATGAGAGAGGATGCATTTCTAGTTTCTTGGGTCCAGACAAGATTTGCGTAAATTCAGCTCTGCCCCCATTTGGCCCTGCAGTCAACTGCATTCTTGGCAGGGGGAAAAAAAATTCATTGGACTAATTGAGTGATGCGCAGAGATAGCCAAAAACCAAACCCTTAAACAGCTGCAGTCAGCATTTCCAGAGTTCTTTTCACTTCTGCAAAGGACTTGTAGTTACTCAACTACCTATGGTGCTGATTAATAAATTTCTATATAATCGCAGTACCTCTACCTCTTACCAGCTCTTTTCCAAATGAAGACACAAATTGGCCAAACTTAGGGATCCCACAGGGCCACCACATCAGACAAGGTCAAAGCTAAAGTTAGGGGCCACCTCCTACAGTGAAGACTCAGGCCATGGAGCTGAGGTGCTTGAGATGGGACATTCTAACTCCACTGAATTCTTCAAAGTACTCAAAATACAGTGCTTGAGAGCTTTGGACCACATCTCCCAGATGTGGATAACAGCATGGTTATCAGCAAGGGGCAGTAAAGTTTCTCCCTAAAAAGTAAACCAGGCCAGGAGTTCAAAGAGGCACATGAACATAATTTATTAAATTCACCATACAAAGAATATGTCACAGGAAAAAAAAATTATATATATATATATAAATCTTAGAATTGGAAAGATCCATGGAGATCAATCGGACCAACCTCCTCATTTTACAAATGAGGAAATTGCCTGAAGCTCCAGCAATCTGTTGTACACAAGGCCAGAACGTGAGTGCAGTCCTGAGCCACAGAAACACATAGACTTAAGACTTCTGGATTTTAGCCAAGTATAGCCTGAAGACTTAATCCATGTTTATTTTTAATTTTTCTGTTTCTTCTGTTACCACACTCTGATGCTTATCTCTGTAAGTCCGCAGCAAGAGCCCTAAAGAAAACTCAGTGAGCTTGAGGGCCTTTCAGAGCCAAGGTTACAGGCTGGTTACGGAGCAGAAGTGTACAGTGGGGTTAAGGGAAGAGCTCAATCCTTCCCCCCATCTTGACTGGTCCCCTTTCCCCATACAACACACACAAAGAACTCAACACTTTGGGGAAAATATCCTTGCATTTCTGGGGTACAGATCAAGTTTAGAGGAGGATGAGAAAAGCAGCAGGTCAAGGAAGGCGAGAGATGTATAACAATGTCATTCTGAAGTCAATAAATCCAGTGGGAACACTTTCTACAGTTTCAAGTAAATCCTAACATCACAAGAGAAGGCTGTAGAATTTTGGTATTAAATCAAATGTGAGATGTAAGCCAAAACACCAATAACTTAGGAAAATAAATACAATTGGGGTTTTGCTGGGACCAGTGTAACCCAGTGAAAACACAGTCTGTAGGCTCTGAGTGGAGGAGACTAGGGTGTACCTTGCACTGCATCTTAGGGAACCTAAGAGACTCTGGGAGTCTTCACAGCAGAGAGAAGTCACACATAACTGTCCATGGCCCTAGAGAATCTTTCTTCTCAAAGCTACTCCCTGAATGTCCACTCCCATCTCCCCAGAAAAGGCTGTCAAAGCTTAGGTTCACTGACTCTGACCAGGCCATGCCACGGCAGGTAACCCCATTGTCTATCTGTAGGAGGCCCAGTTCAGCATGGGCTGAGGGCGGAGCAAGTAGAAAAACAGTTTGTTGCTAAGAACCAAGCTGTGTTTGCAGAAGGAACTTCATTCCCCCAGGACACTCTCCAATCACTGTGGACATCTGTGTCTCTAGCTTTTAGGGCTGAGGCAAATCCTGTCACTTCTCCCAGCCTGATGAAGACCTGGCTTCTAAGGCAGCTGGACTTCAGTCTACAACAGAAGGGAGGCTCTGCTATAGAGAAAAATAGTTAACTACGGTAATAAGGAGACTGCCCTGGCTCCTAATTGTAGGGTAATGGCTTCCAAAAGGAAGCCGCTTCCAGAGGAGCCACTCATCCTCTGTCTGCCCAGCACACAAGAGAGGAGTCTGGAATGGGATACATGAATGTGAAGCCCTGAGTACAGTTAGGGAACAGTCAGGAAGTCAAAAGTCAGTGTTAACAGCCTACAGGAGTGGTGGACTTCTCCACAGGCAAGAAGCGGCAGCAACAGCAACATCCATCTTCCATCTCTGTCCAGTTCATGTTTCCACCACTCGGATGAGAGGCATGGGTTTAGGGCTAGGAGGCTTGGATATCCTAATGCTGAAAAGAAAGTTGTAAACACTGAGTGTGCTGTGTTGCCCACCCCTCACAGAGCTTCCCTTCCACGTCTGCCCCTGGAATTCTACATCAGTGCTGGCTGATCTCTTGGGGTCCATGCTATGAAATGGTAATTGTCAGTGACACTTAAGAGAAGATTTTGGGGCAGTGTTTCATTCTGTTATACATAGGGTTCCTATCAGTCGGAGCTGACGTGATGGCACAACCACAACAACTTCTGTCTAGTGGCAGGGGCAAGGGAAGGAGAAAACTCACTGCCCTTGAGTCGATTCCTACTCATAGAGACCCCCACTGGGTTTCTTAGGCAGCAACTTTACAGAAGTAGACTGCCCCATCTTCCTCCCATGGAGTGGGTGGTGGATTTAAACCACCAACCTTCTGGTGTGCAGACAAATGCCTCAGGCACTGTGCCACAACACAGCTCCTTAGGGAAGGAGAAAGGGCAGTTAAACAACTGAGAAGTGGGTATCTGTGACCTTGAAAGCAAAAGGCCTTCTCTCAAGAAATATGTACATACTATGCATACATAATTTGTGTATGATTTCAGGGGGTACACACATGCCTAGAAGCTGTTCATTGGAGCCCTGCGGGGTCATGGTATGAGGCTCTATTCTAACTGGGTTAGAAAACAGTTTTGTGGGGAGTGGGTCAGATGAGAGACTGCAGTAGAGCTGGATTTAACAGAGCCTTGTCCTTGCTTTAGCATTCAACGTATCTCAGAGCTCCATCCCTTCATCCCTTCCTACCCAGACCCCACTCTATACACTCACCTGCCCGGGTTCTCTGTCTTGGCCCGAGCCTGGGTACTGAAGTTGCCATGACTGATTTGCTTTTCTATCAGGTGCTCCATCCGGTCATGCATCTCTAGATTCTGTAACACAACAATGGGGTTAGAACTGGCCTTTTCCTGATTGTCATTTGTCACATTCAACTGGCTTATTCTGGTCTCTCCACTTCTGTGTATATACTCCTGCTGCTGCCCTCACCCCTACCATACATACCACCACCAGGATACCCTCTCCCCTCATCTGTTACTCCCAATGGCTCATGTTCTCTAATCTCTGCTCCAGCCTCAAGAATATGTTCTCCCCAGGGAAGAGGCAAGTATCGGGAGGAAGAGGAAGGGGAACTGTTGCATTGGGGTAAATTGTAGTCAGTGTCATGAGACAAAGTGTAAGTGAACTGCTGTATGGAAAGCGAATTTGCTCTGCAAAATTTCACTCAAATCACAATTAAAAAAAAAAAAATGTTCTCCCAATAACTCTGTGGGAGCTCTGGTGGCACAGTGCCTAAGACATTTGACTGCTAACCAGAAGGCTGGCAGTTCAAACCCACTACCCACTCCTCAGAAGGAAGACTGGGGAACCTACTTCTGTAGTGACACTGCCTCGGAATCCCAAGGAGGAGTCACTATGAGTCAGATCCGACTCAACGGCAATGAGTTTGGTTTTTTTTTTTTTTTTTGCTTTGGAATAACTCTGTGCAACAATGATCATTTTCTATACATCTTGTATATACATTTTCTGTATATAATTTTCTATAATCAGTCCAGCTATTCACTTGCCTTTATTGATAGAATATTCTATAAAATAATCTTAGGTCTTTTAAAAAATATTTTTAAAATATTTCTTTTTAAAATATATATTAAAATTTATTTTTATATTCGACATATATTTTTATATTCTTACTAGGTGTTCCCCTGCCCCTTATTTTATCTCCAACTCTAGACCACAAATTCCCTGAAATAAACAACCCTATCATCCATTTCCACTGCTTGTCTGTCAGTTTGTCATACTGTGGTGGCTTGCGTGTTACTGTGAGGCTGGAGGCTACGCCACCAGTATTTCAAATACTAGTAGGATCACCCATGGTGGACAGGTTTCAGTGGAGCTTCCAGACTAGGACAGACTCAGAAAAAGGAAAGGGCCATCCACTTCTCCAAGAATTGGACAGTGAAAACCTTATGAACAGCAGTGAAAAACTGTCTGATACATTACTGGAAAACTCTATGAATAGCCCTGAAACTGAAACACTGTCTGATATAGTGCCAGAAGATGAGCCCCTCAAGTTAGAAGGCACTCAAAACATGACTGCGGAAGAGTGACCTCCTCAGACTGGAGCCAACAACCTTAATGATGTGGACAGAGTAAAGCTTTTGGGACCTCCATCTGCTCATGTGGCATGACTCAAAATGAGAAGAAACAGCTGCAAACATCTTAATAATCAGAACATGAATGTACGAAGTATGAATCTAGGAAAATTGGAAGTTGTCAAAAATGAAATGGAATGCATAAAGATTGATATCCTAGGCATTAGTGAGCTGAAAT